TGCTAGTTGGGACTCCCCCTTTGTTGTCATTCTATTCAGAGCTGTCATTTTGTGGTGAGAGTTTGTCAGAATTAGACGGGTCAGCGGGCGTTGGGTTGTCTTTTCTTTCCGCAAGTTGGTGGCCATCGTTCATCGTGGATCAACATCTACATCGCTGGACAATATGATTGACCTTTGGATTACATAGATGGACACTTTTTTTAAATAAAATACTTTTGTTTATGGTGTGGTGCATTTAATTACAATTTGTCAGTTTTTATTTGGTGAATGAGTAGGGGTAACAACTACCCCTTAATAATTTACAATTGGGGGCAGCATCTGGGTGTTCCATTTATGAAAAGGCCCAGATAAGCCCCTCTGCCTGAAGACCCCCCCAACCACTGGGCCAGGGATGTGGGGAAGAAGCCCCTTTCCTGCTCTGCCAGGCTCCTGCTCGGATTAAGGGTCTGGTGAGCGATTTTAGGTGGGACACCACACTTTTTTTTGTTTTTTCGGCATTGAGGTCCCCCCTACAACTCCTACCAGAACTAAAGGGTCTGGTATGAATGGGGGGACCCCATGCTTTTTAATTGTTTTTTTGTGGACTGTAAAAAGAAAAATTTCAATTTTTTTCTAATGTTACTTTGCTGCAACAAAAATGTATTTGTAATTATCTAACGCATCCAAAATTAATGGAAATGTAAATGTCGGATTAATCCAAATCTGAAGCCCGAAATGAATTGACTTTTGGACCTGAATACTGAAAAAAAATAAAATACGAAATGAACCAAAAATGTTTGCACGTCTAGTCTGTTATACTAGGGTGTGCACACTTGTACAGGAGTATGGTCATCATGTATTTTTTTGTGATGTGCGTTGACCGCATCAATAGAAAAAGGAATGAAATGCTGAAAAGAACAGTTTCATTGAGGATCACATGATCTGTTCTTACTGGAACATTCTGTTCTGCAGAGGGCTCTATAGTCACTTCTTGAGTTTTGATGCAGTTTCCATTCCAAAACATATTTATGGCAATGCGTCATTAATGTACAACAGAAATTTGTTCTAAGTTCTAACTTTTCAAATACAAGCTGTGACCAACAAAAATAATGCATGTTTTATCTTTAATTTTCTGGAAATGAAAGATAAAGTTTTTTCTTTTCTTCTTTGGCCAAAGATTATATGGTTGCTAGCTATCGGTAGAATTTTGAGTGTGTTACTGCATATATCCTGCAGAAAACCGAGCAGGAAGCAGAACCTGCATTTGTAACAGGCAAGGATTGGGATCCTTTGGCTTGGGAGCAGGGGTGGAACAACCAACTAGCCCTTTCATGGCATGGACAGATTTTTGAGGACCAAAGAACATGTACTATACAAAGTGAACTAATTGAATTAATGGTTGTATAAGTACCACAAATAAACAACAGATTCTTGCCAGCTTGTTTCCTGGCCAGATTTTCCAGTGCTTTGCTCACATTTCTGCGGTGCCGGGGAGCTGTCATTTGAAACAGGAGTCTGGAGGAAGAGTACTGTCACTCATTGTGACTGACACTGGATCTCCATTTCTGAACAGCATTATTGACATTGGATTTACATTGTGGGACATTACTTATTTTGAAGGGTTACGATTATTCTTCTAATAAAGGACTTTTTGCATGGTGTCTGTTTTCATTTACATTGATATTTTTGTGAATGAGTAACTAGGGGAAATATGTAACCATTACTCATTCATATGGTGGTATGGTTGGACATCTGGGGACCCCTTATTCTAAACAGGACTTCCAAATTCTGGTAATCCCCCCCCCACACACACACACACACACACACACATCAAACTATAGTATGGCATGGCAAAGTATTAGCATGTGGATTGATATGATTCAAGAGTAAAAGCTGCAGCCCCCCCTTTTCCTGGCCAGGCCCAGCCAGGCTGCATGACTAGATAAGGGTCTGGATTTCAAACTACTAAAATTTTGAATATCTAAAAATGTTATCAAATAAATGTGTCTTACTGTACAGTAATGAACTGGCCCTATCTGTGCTTTTGGCAGCTATGTATGAAATGCACTACATTCCTGCTAATATTCTCAGAGATTTTGATTCAAAGACAGCATCAGGCCACCAATGATTCTGAGCGACTCACCTTTATGAAGATATAATTTACATATTGTGCACCAACAAACCAAACTGCTAACAGTGCATATACATAGAGATGAAGAAGTGGAAAAGCAGACTATTGTATTGACATTAAGAGATGATTTCCACATTTATACCCCACTAAACTAAATTATTTACCAAATGCCTCAATTAATCCCTTATTAAAATAAGTAAAATAGAGTTGGGCACTAAATGTTGAATCTACTTACAACTCAATGTTAACTACATTACCGCTATACTTAGCAAACAGCTAGATACACAGATGAGATGCAAATGAAAACTGTTCTACAAACAGTCCTGAGATTTAAATTACAGCACAACATTGTTTAGCAGGGGAGGGGACATGATCTTCCTCTGCTGAAGTTTCCCTTCCACCAACAGGCCTCCTTGCCACCCCCACACTATGACTGGACAATAAAAAAAGCAGCACATGATTAGCTCATCTCCGTTGTCCTGTGCTCTCTTCCTATTAGCATGCTACTTGCACTGCAGAACACTGGATTGGCTGCTTTTGCTGCTTCTGCCCCCCATCCCTGAGCTCTGCTGTAAAGACTACACAGTTGACTTTGTTAAAAATTAGGGATGCACCGATACCGATACTAGTATTGATGCCGAGTATTTGGGCGAGTATATTCACGCTGCCTGACTTTCTTAATGGGACTCCCGGTACCGTTGTTCGGTATCGGCGAGTACCGAAAAAAAAATATATTGGTACTCGTACTCGATACCATAAAAAGGTATCGGTTCATCCCTATTAAAAATGGATACCTACACTGCTTGCATGTCAAAAATACAATCATGTTGCATTAGTGATTACAGAGCTACACTTAAGTAGAACTAGAGCTGCAACAGTTAATCGATTTAGTCGATTAAAATCGACGATTGAAAACGTTGCCAACGTTTTCGATCGTCAATTCGTCGGCTATCGATTGATTTCCCTGTTCAGGGCTCCAAACGCGGCCTGAAGCACACGTCACACGCTGTTTCCGTCACGCTGCGCCGGGCGGACATAAGCCACGCCCACCGCACGCTGCTCCCGCCGTGCCCACAGGACGAATAAGCCACGCCCCCCGCACGCCGCTGCTCTCCTCCATGAGCTCCCTCACTCGGCGCTGGTATGGCAGGCTCCCTCAACCTTTCAGTGCCTTACCCTTGCATCACTAAACAATTTAGCTAGATTAAAAAGATTCTACCTCAAAACATGATTAACAATTCATTCAGATGGCCCCTTCTAGTATTTCTTAAAACCTAAGGTTTTTGCACACCTTGAGGTAGAATCTTTTTAATCTAGCTATTATCTGTTAATTTGGGGCGTGCTCCCTTTGAAGTACACGGCCAAAAAAATTATCTTCAATCACTAAACAATTTGTCTACTCTAAAACGTCCTGAATAAATATTTTTGTGACAGACGGATCACAAAATTATATAGTGTAGAGCTGCAACAATTATTCGATTTAAGTCGATTAAAATCGACGATGGAAAACGTTGTCCATCGTCGATTTGTCGGCTAAAATTCAAATTTCCAGCTCGCCCCCGCTGCTTACGTCCGCCGCGTACGCCAGGCCCACGTCAGTTAAGCCGCTCATGCTTACACTGGTATACTCACTCACCCGACGCCGTTTACGCCACGCTGAGGACATGCGTCTGGCCCTCTTTATAGCTGCTGGTATTCCGCTGTATAATGTACTATATTGCACACCACACTCCACACCATACTTCCACCACGCCATGCTTGCTCCCGTGATGGACCACAATCTCAATAGAAACTAGTAGTCCATCACTGGAGCCCCTTTTTTTTAATCCGATTAGTCGATTAATTGAACTTAATAATCGGCTAACTAATCGATTATGAAAATAATCGTTAGCTGCAGCCCTAAGTAGAACTGAAGCCAAAACTTTGTTTTAGTTTTGGATAAAATAAGGGAGGGTTATTTTTTGTCCCTCTGTGTCCCTTTAAGGAGATTTCTCTTCACTTACTGTCTGATATTCACAACAGGAAGCGAGGGGAAATCCCCCTAAACAGAGGGAAATCCCTGGTGGCCAGCAGGGTCACCAGGACTAGTGTGCCCATTGGAAGATTTCCCCTCTATTCCTGAGCTGGTAACAACCAGGACTTTGGGATTTTCTTTTACTTTCACTGATAACAGTCACTAGGACAACTAGAAAGGGTGAAGCTCCATAACAGAGACAGAGATGGCAATAGAAACTTGACAGGTCTTCTAATCCCTCTCCACTCTATCCAAAACTAAAAAGAAAGTTTTGGCTTTAGCTGCACTTTAAAATGTACATTTAATATCCACCTGAAGTCACTGTAAAAAATGGATTAAGTAGGTTTTTCTTATGGCTTATCTCATGTAATTATGCATACATACATATCAGCTCAATAGAAATGCACAATTGTTTGTGTGCTTAGCTTATCCTTTTATGCCATTATAAAAGTCAACCAGTCTACCAGACTAAGTCTATCACATTAAAAACAGGTGCTTTGCATTCTCCCGTGGCTGGTAGCTAAAGATCGTGTGCTCTAGGTGACACATGACAGGCAAGAGCTACATTTAAATGAATTTAATGAATTTGGCATTACTTGCTCACACATTCTCTATCAATCTACAAGAGACATACATATTAATATGTTTGTTTGAAGTATATATGAGAATGCAAAAAGTGCATTACAAGAGCCCACATTTCTTTTAGTATCTACACATTTAACATGCATATTGAACTTAAGATCAATTTTTTTTCTGACTATTTGTTCAAATGTTGTGTTAATAGTGCACACTGCAACCGAGCATCACCAACTCCCTGGAGCTATTCATATTCTAACATGCTAACAATATAGATGGTGTAGGATTTCGTCTGCTTACCTCATTCACATAAACCCAGTGGCTGTCCTTTGAAGCAAGATTGGTCTCTACCGCCTGTAAGAAAAATAAACACATACATATAATTCATAGCAAATGCCTTTTTTATCAGCAGTTTCTAAAGTCTAGTGTAACTGTAATTAAAATTTTAAATAAGATCATTTTGAAGAACTCGAATTCTAAAACAAGAACTTCGAAGTTGGTCACATACTACAGCGCTTCTAATTAACTTGAAGGTTGCCCTTGTTTTCTCAGTCACACTGAGAAAAGTCATTTTTACTATAGCAAACAGAAATATGTGGCACAATTAAACAGCAGGTTATAATAAAAGTCCATTGTCCTCTAAAAATATTTATTTTAATATGCCAATCAAACGTTCCAATTTAGCCTAAAAATATATATATTTCTGTCTCCTTGTTCACACCGTTGTACTTTTAAACATAATATATTCTACAAATGTAGGAACATCCCCGGTGGTTTTATGACCCTGCTTCACGGGAAGTCGCAAAATGTTCATGATATTAACACTTAATTTAAGGCATACTAAAAAATGCATTAAATACAGTGACTCAAAGTAGAACTGAAGTCTCCTGTATCATCGTCCAAACAAATACCACATCTAGTTACTATTTAATGTAAAAGCTTAAGGTAAACAAAAATGTATTTCCTTCCCTGGCAGAACCAAATCCTCCTTCACTTGTGCTTCACACACTACCCTCCCAGACACTGCAGCTTACAGTGGGAGGGTTTTAGCAATAGAGGCAATACTTTCAATCCAGAAGTGTAGATGTACATAAAATAGACGTATAATTAAATAAATGTTCTGTTGGCAACTCTAAAATCTTGTTTCAGTGACCATGGTTTGCCATAAAAACTTAAATGAGTGTCTAACACTTTACAACTCTATCCAAAAAAAATAAATGTTTAATTTTATGCTGGTCATAGGTGTCATTCATCAACTATCATTTGTAAAAATGATACCTTTAAACATAATATCCATATTTTGTTTCCTGGTGGTTATAGTAGAGTACAAATGATTTGATAAGTTACTTGCCTGTAGATTCTTGCTTAAAGTGATCCTTTAATAACAGAAAGAAGGGAGCTGTGATATCTGTTTTTTGTTTTTATCTTAATAGGTACCAGCTGTTTGCTCCAGGTCAATGACTCACTGTGTTGGAGATAACAGCCAGAGATGTCAAACAATTCTGAGCTCCTGTCCTGTATGAACTATGAGCTATGTCCTGTACGAACATAGGTTCGACTTGAACATAGCCTGTTCTAGCGTTCGCTGAACGCCGAACAATGTGGGATGTTCGCGGTCTGTTCAACCATGGAACATCCCACAATGCGCTGCACCCTCCGAAACTGTAATTGGCTACAGTCTTGCACCTGCCCGCAGTTCAGGTGTAAGACTGTGCCAATCAGGGCTCAGTACACATTTAGAGCCATGTATATATATATATATACACACTGAGTGGTCAGATTATTATGACCACCTGACATTTGTAGGCAGATTAGCTATAATTTTGCACTGAAGTTGGTAGAGGGTCAGACCATTATAAATAGGGAAGCATGTTGTTTACCACGACAGTAGAAGTGATTTTTTTTCTGAAGATATGGGTAAACAACGCGATTTAACAGCCTTTGAACGTGGGATGATTGTTGGCGCTCAAGCCATGGAGCGAGTATCAGCAAAACAGCAGAATTCGTTAAATGTTCAAGAGAAGCTGTTAAAGTGTTAAAAGACTGGACTGTCAGCCGAAAATCTGGGTCTGAACCATTGGCGGATCCAGGGGTGGGCAAAGGGACAATTGCCCCCCTCTGAGAGAGAGAGCCGCTACCACCCGCGGTACCGTACCAGTGACAGGAGTACATCCCCGCACACGGCCGGGAAATACAGCTGTCAAGCTGTCACAGAGTTAACTGCGGTTTAGTGTAAAAAAACATCACAGAACAAGTAATATGCCGTTTTTTTACACTGAACCGCAGTTAACTCTGTGACAGCTTGACAGTATGTCCCGGCCGTGTGCGAGAATCAGAGGCAAGGCTTGAAAAATCCCAACGAGCAGCTCCCTGGCTGGCCGTTGTAATTACACGGCCGGCCGGGAGCTTTACATTCAAGCGATTAGGCGTCTCTAGAGATGCCTGATTGCTTGTATTAGCAGCTGTCACTGCCGACATGGCTCTGTGACAGGAGATGAAAGGGAGTTCAGTATACGGTCTCCCTTTGATCTTCTCTCAGTCCCCGAATGCAGGAAGTGATGTACGTTACATCACTTCCTGCATTCAGTGTCACTCTCCAGCTACAGAAGCTGATGAAGCCGATATCTGCTTCATCAGCTTCTCTGGGGATTCCTAGGTGACATTAGTGGTCTTGGGGAACCCTGATGTCTCCATAAGGAGGACCTGTCATGTAAATTGGCTATCACATAGGGGGCTTCTTAGCCCCGATGTAATAGCAATAAAGTTGTGTGTAAAAAAAAAGTCATACAAAAATTAAACAATCATTAAAAAAAATAAAGCACAAACAAATTAAAAAAGAAAAAAAAAATGTAAGTCCCCGCCCCCCACATACACACGCAGATATGCGTCGGGTGCGCCTATGTGAGAAAAAGACGATTGCACCTATTGTGCCGCACATGTTACATATCGCCGCAAACATCGGAGTGAGAGCAATAATTTTAGGGCCATTAATCACTGATAACATTAAACTGATGATCAGTAAAAGCATTTTAAGCGTCGCCTATGGGCGTTGTTTGCGATTTTGCGGGCACACACAATTTTAAGGCTTGACATGTTTGGTGTCTATTTACCCGACGTGATCCCGACTTTTATGTTTTACCAAAAATATGGGTAAGAATAAATGTTTTATAACAGAACGTACAAGACAGTTGTGGGTAGCCAGGCCCATGGCCCCCCAGGTGTAATCTCTCCCCCTAAAATATATTAATTACAAAACAGGAAAGATACCGGGGTTTCTGAGCGATATGACACCATGGCTTGAAGTTTTGAAAATAGATTTTTATTTAAATATCACATATAGTACAAAATACATACACATTTGAATAAAAGAAAGGGAGCAACGGCAGTTGCAACCAGTTAAAAACAAAATTAAGCCAGAGGCATAGACCCATTAAACATGTTCAGACATAACCATAATAAATCAATATATTCTATAAGTCCATTCCCTACGCATTTCGCAACTTGGCTTCTTCAGGGGATTATGACCTACCCACCCAAATGGAGTGGCTTACTGAGGGTCTAGGTTTCTTATGGAGCCTAGGTGGAGAGATAGTCCTCCAAAAGGGAAATGCTCCGTCCAGTGCCTTGTATCCAAAGGAGGGGAGAGAGGGAGGACCTCGGGCCGCTATAGGAGGGAGGAGCCACCAATCCTGGCTGGAGAGAGAAGGCTGTCTGCACCTATCCTGTGTACCTTTCGAGGGGATATATGTGGTATTAACCCCTATCCCCAATATAGTTCACAGAACTTATTTTGAACACCTTTTTTTTTTGGGATATTTTTTCGAATACTTTTTGAACAGTCCTCTTTGGATTTGACACATCACATCATTCAACAATTATACGGTGGTTGTCACTAACAACAATTGGTTCACATACCCTGTGGGATCAATGATCCAGGGCCAATGATGGTTTTTTAGAAAGACTTTAAGTCA